AGTCCGAGAACGTCTTGAATGTAAGACTGAATGCTTTCGCCGGATTTTTGTGCGCGAGACTTGAGGTGGTCTTTGGCTCGTCTGAGGTAGGATTGGCTGTCTCCAAAGGTCACTTTTAAACCATTTTCGAATAAAGTCCAAGACGTCAGTGAGTCCTCGTTGTTTTCGTACCATTGTCTTGCGGTGCCGTCCAGGAAGAAGTAGGCATTAGCTAATTGCATAGTGTCATCCCAATGATTGTACGATGACACTCTCTGGTATTCCTTCAGCCATTTTGTCGGATCTTGTCCTGGAGTACCCCGGAAGATTGTTGGTTTCCTGGCTTCAGCAGCAACTGTTGGCGTCATCCAAAATGCAGGTTTCATATCCTGTTGGTCCCCAGTGGTCATGTCTGTCTCTGGCACATTGGCCATGGCTGTCTTTGGCACAGTCGCTTCAGGAACGGCTTCTTTAGGTTTTTCGTATAGTCCAAATTCAGGTAGACTCGACGGCTTCTTCTAAGCCAGTCAGTGTTTTGCTCCGTGATATTGATTGGGAAATTAACTCTTGCCCGGCACCTCCACCAAATTTGTCACGTTAAAGTGTTTAGATTTAGTGAAGATTACAACATGAGGTTTTGATAATTTATTAACATCAGGAATTTACAAACACCGGGAACTAGTCTGCGCCCAGAAGAACTCCTCTTTACAATCACGGGATCGCTTTTATACTATCTCAGAATGTTCTAGAACAGTGTTTCCCAACCTTTTTTGTGCCATGCCCCACTCAAGCCTTTCTAAAATTCTTATGCCCCCCCTATGTGACATACACATAATTTTTAATATTAAAATATTGAATTGTTCACATAAGAAACTTAAATGATAGGTTTCAGTGAGAAATCTCTAGGAAATAGTTGATGAAACACAGTGAGTAAAATTTCGACTTATAATTAAACTTATAATGAAAAACTAAAATTCAAATTCGAAATAATTTTCATAAAGATTTTTCTATAATTATTTAATATTTTAATTTAGAGAGATCCTTGCGCTTGCTGCACAGAGATTTTATGTTAGTTTCCAATTTGGTTATCTTGCAGCCTCAAGTCTACCCACTGTGTTATATCCGGGCGATTTCCCTTTTTTTTTACCAGTAAATCATTTACATCACTAAATCCACATTCAGCTAAATATGAAGATGGAAACGGTAACAATAGTTTTCTTGCATATTTGGTTGAATTTTGCTATTTGATTTCCGTTTCTTCACAAAGCCATGCCATCACTCCTTTTATATAAAAATAAAGTTTTAACTGACTTATCATTTTGCATTTCTGAGAGTTCTTCTTGATACTGCATATTTCATATAACAGACAAATGCACTAACATTCGCTGCATCATCCGTGTTGAAAAATCTATTTGTTTTAAATCAGACAATCTTTCTTTTAAATCAGCCGATAGAATTTTCAGATGATCGACAATAACAAGTAAAGCGGCATCATTTACTTTTAATTTTTGGGGACAATTAAACTTATCCAAGTTTTTTTTTTCAGACTTAACTCAATAAGGGCAATGTAACCAAATATCTTCGTTTTTGTACCAAGAGTTGTTTTTGTTCCTTGAAGTTGCTTATTTAATATATTTAGTTTTTCAGAGATATCGGCTAAATAACTCACAAATGCTTTACCTCCGACTGTTAACAGATACTTCATATCAGGTTTGTCGCTTAAAAAATCAATAAGAGTATCAAACAGTTCCATGAATCTTTTCAAGCAGTTCCCTTTAGAGAGCCATCTTACTTGCATTTTGTTCTTCACAAAACAGCTTGAAGAGGCGCTCACATTTGGCATAAGCTTTAATAGCATTGATACACTTTATTAGTGAATGTGAGTACTTGGAACAGGCGAGATGTTTTTAGCTACTTAGTTTTCCCTATGCAATAACACAATGCTAAAGAATCATTTTTGGATTCTCATCTTTCATCAATATTAAGTAGCAATTTTTCTTGCCCATCCTATTAGGAGCACCATCTGCAGCACAAGATGTTATATTTTTCATTGGTATATTATTGACATCTAAGGAGTTTTTTTTAAGCTTATTACATAATATCTTTGGAGGTAGTGGTGCTTTTTAATCTTTTACAGAACAACATTTCTTAACAAAATGCTCTTTATCAATATATTTTACGTAAGTTATCAATACTGCCACACTGTCCATCAAAGTTGATTCATCTATTTGCATTGAGAATTTTCTTGTTTGTAGCTTGTCAGCAAGTTGTTTTTTAATATCTTCACTCATTTCATCTATTCTTCTGCTAACAGAATTGTTATTAAGTGGCATAGCTTTTACATCTTTTTCAAGAACCGTTTTAAAGAATGCTGATATTGAAGGTTTTATTTAATTCTCTCCTATAGTTTGATTTCTTCCAAATTTAGCGATGAATAAAGAAACTTCATAACTAGCCGCACGAATACAATTATGAGTTGAAGTGTGAGCAGTAAATAAAGACTTTACTGTTGCATTGCAGGCATAAAAGACATACTATGTATTGATTTCTATCACTGAATGTTGCGAAACACTACAGAAGTTGCTACGGTCCATTCAGATGCGAACAACTGCATAGGTTAGTTAACTTGATGACGCCAAAAACTCAAGTTGATATTTTGGTCTGATCAAACGAATTTATAATATTTATTGACCGCAATTATTTAAGAATTTGCTTTTTTTCTCTCAACTTTGGCACCGAGATCTAGCATTGTATTTAAATGTCCCGGAGCAAATGGGTAAAACTCTTGTCGAGTCCATTTTCGAATTGCCCCCCTTAACAATCAAATTGCCCCCCAGTGGGGCGTGGGCCCCACGTTGGGAAACACTGTTCTAGAAGCTTCCTAGGAACAACGAAAGAGGAAATGACGTAGACTGAACATTCCAGAAGCTTCTGGAATGCTCATAAACTAAATAGAAAAATTAGTGTCCGCTTCCCGGATTGAACCGAGGACCTTCGGCTTTATAGAAGCGAATTCTACCCCTGAGCTACTGAGACTAAATTTACGCGTAATTTTACCATTTACGAGAGTTTTCTGTAATTTATAAATTCTAACAGGCCAAGAGCAAAAAACAAATTTTTACGAAATTAATACCACTGGATAAAGATAGTGTAAAGGTTAGCCATGTTTTGAGGGTTATCGCTTATTTGGCTATATTTGTGTAAAATAACGCTGTTTGCTATTTTTTNGATTTGTGTTTAAATTTACGCGTAATTTTACCATTCGGAAGAGTTTATTTATAAATTCTAACACATAAAAATATTTTTTTTTTTGTAATTTAAATGATTTAGCGTTTACATTAGTGTTAATGGATGGTTGACGGAATGTAAGCAATAACAAGTTTCCTAAAACCGGAAGAAATTTAGTAAACTTCCGGTTTATCACACCGCTTTTGTCATGCTCACGAAGCGATGTGTGAACAGGCTTAACATTCTAAGAAGTTTTATTATTGTGATTTGTGTTTAAATTTACGCGTAATTTTACCATTCAGAAGAGTTTATTTATAAATTCTAACGCATAAAAATATTTTTTTTTTTGTAATTTAAATGATTTAGCGTTTACATTAGTGTTAATGGATGGTTGACGGAATATAAACAATAACAAGTTTCCTAAAACCGGAAGAAATTTAGGTAAACTTCCGGTTTATCACACCGCTTTTGTCATGCTCACGAAGCGATGTGTGAACAGGCTTAACATTCTAGGAAGTTTTATTATTGCGATTTGTGTTTAAATTTACGCGTAATTTTACCATTCGGAAGAGTTTATTTATAAATTCTAACACATAAAAATATTTTTTTTTTTGTAATTTAAATGATTTAGCGTTTACATTAGTGTTAATGGATGGTTGACGGAATATAAACAATAACAAGTTTCCTAAAACCGGAAGAAATTTAGTAAACTTCCGGCTTATCACACCGCTTTTGTCATGCTCACGAAGCGATGTGTGAACAGGCTTAACATTCTAAGAAGTTTTATTATTGTGATTTGTGTTTAAATTTACGCGTAATTTTACCATTCAGAAGAGTTTATTTATAAATTCTAACACATAAAAATATTTTTTTTTATAATTATAAAATTAATAAATAAATAAAAAATTACATAATAAAAGTCAAAAAACTTATAAATTATAATTCAAATTATGAAATTTTGTATAGTTTTTTAGACTACACAATTTTTCACATCATTTTGAAGAATATAATTTTACAAGGCAAAATATAAAATTATGAAATCGGTTGAAGAGCTCCTGAGAAATCGAAGTTTTAAAATACGCTTTTTTTTCGCTTAAGAATTTCTCGAGATATGGCAAAAAGTAAAATTAACATTAAAAGGTCCGAAATTTAGACAGCTCTCTTGACCGAACTATTGGGACCATATTTCCCAGATTGAGGCTTAATCCGTCGGAAAAAGAAAGTACGTTTTTGCGTTTGATTTTACACTTAAAATAACGTCTACCACTAATTAATTAGCATATTTGAGATCACTCCTTCAAATCATTAGAATGAGTCCTAGAACGTGAAGATCTGATCATTAGATCAGAAATAATTAAGAGTGGTCCGTTTTTTATTTTGGACACTGTACTATAATGTTACCACAAGAAAAAACTATTTTTTTATGCTACGGAAATTCCGCAGCAGTTGAAGAGTATGCTTAAATGCATAAATCAATAGCCGAACAAGAATTTTTGTTTCTTAAGCAATAGCTATTACTAAGAATTGTTATCGTGTACTTAATAAAAATAAAATTGATAATAGTTAAAATATTTTTCCAGGAAAATACTTAGTTTCCCAAGAAACATATTTTTATTATGACATTTATGTTCAAAATTTATGTTGTTACGGTTGAATAAAAATATAAGTTTATTCACTTATTCCGTTTGTCAATTTTTGTCTCCAGGATGTTCTTGCATTTCAATGAAAGCGTGAAAAATAAATTCTGATCTGAATTTCAACAGTAACACAATGGATAAAAGGAATTAAAAATTGAAATATTAGCTCCAATTGGCAAATATTTGAAAGTTGGTTGACGAAGATTGAAAACACGAATTGTTTGTATTAATTTATATTTCCCCAAAAAAAGGCAAATTAAGCGAAATATATTTGGAGGATGTTCGAATTTATCAGCATAATTTCTAAAATTACAGAGAAATTGAAATCTTTAGTTTTCGACAGTCTTATGAAACACTTTTTTTAAATTTTTTTTTCGCTTGAGGCCATCAAGAAATTAAAAAAAAAAAAACTTTACCTTTCCATAATATGTTTTTTTGGGTAAAAAATGGTAAACCGCAAAAAAGGAAATGGTTCTTATGTAAAAAGAAATTGGAGAAAAGGTAGCTAAGTTTCTTTATTTGTAATGAGTTTTTGACGAAGTAACTGAGCTGCATAATAATAATTTAAACTTAATTAGAATGTATGATTTAAGTTCGATATTATCTTGATATTATTATTAACACGATGCC